CATCCTGTTACAGAGGCTGGAACACACTGTAGGCATCACTGGCATTGCCCTAGAGTGGTTTAGATCATATCTCACCAACAGAACTGTAAGCGTCAAAGTTGACGCTGAAGCTTCAAGTCCATCCCGGCTAAAGCCCGGCGTACCGCAGGGTTCAGTGTTGGGCCCGATCATGTTCTCCCTGTACATTCTCCCCATCGGCACCATCATCAGGAAGTACAACCTCGAGTTTCACGGCTATGCTGATGACAACCAGCTCTATACGGGTATCAGACCATCGAACTACACCACATCAATTGCAGTTCTAGAGCAGTGTATCAGTGACCTCCGCACCTGGATGACCACCAACTTTCTCCAGCTAAACGACAACAAAACCGAATTCATGATAATTGGCACCAAGGTACAACTAAACAAGATCTCTAATCCCTCACTCTCAGGTGGTAGAGACACCATTGCTCCATCACAACAGGTGAAAAATCTTGGCATGACATTCTCAAGTTCCTAGTCACCAGACTCCCACTCTCTGGCCATAGCGAGGGCTGCGTCACTACATCTTCGGCGTGTTGGGAAGATCAGGCGCTATCTGTACATCGAGACCACTAAACTCCTTATCCGATGTTATGTTACCTCCAGGCTTGACTACTGTAACTCTCTGATTTCCGGAACAACCTCCATCAACAGACCCCAACGGGTACAAAACAGATCTAGAGCTGCACGAGTCGTAACAAGAACGAAGCCGCACCAGCACATCACACCAGTACTGAAGTCCATCCACTGGCTCCCTATCCATTAACGTATCAAGTACAAAGTCCTATCCATCACCTACTCCACCCTGAGCGATCCTCAATCACCACAATATCTCAAAGACCTCATCCATCAGTACCAACCAAACAGAACTCTCAGATCGCAGAACAAACGCCAACTCTCAGCGCCAGACTCTAAGACAGCCATAGGGACCAGAGCCTTCTCAGCCAATGCTCCTATTCTCTGGAACTCTCTTCCTATCAACTTTAGATCCTGCACTTCACTAGACTCTTTCAAGAAACAACTGAAAACCTTCCTATTTCCACTGACCCTGTAAAAGCGCCACTGAGCAGCATCGGTTGGACATTAGGTGCTCAACAAGTGCATTACTATTTTTATTAAAACGGCACCAGGGTTCTGACCAACGCCAGTCACCTCAGCAGCGCCAGTCGTCTATTAGGAAACGCCATTTCTTTGCTGAGCGCATTCAGAATCACTAGTACGGTAGCAGGTCATCAGGTCAGGACCACTCTTGAACAAAGACTGGCAGTCGTTCTCCTTACAGACCAGATGGTTGGCCAAAAATATGTAAATCAATGTAAGGCGACGGTGGAATCTCTTACAGCTCCCTTTTTTACTTTCAAAGATATATGCTAGCTAGTTTTACCTCATTTGTGATAACCTAGTAATTTTACTGTCCTTCGTTGACAGGGTTTTATATATTTTCTGTATGTATTATGAATTTCGAACTAGTCACGATATGGCTGAAATATTGCCGATGTGACTTTAAATCTTAACTCACTCACTCACTCTTACAGCTCTCAATTTTGGCATCTCATTGACTAGACTAGTAATATCATGATGTTCAGAATGCCATTCCTATATTATATCAAAGAGTGTGGCAGCTTTACTACTTTATAAAAGTTTAGAAACCTGTATAATGGACATGGTGTAAATGTGCCAAGTTGCCCTGACTGACTGACTGACTGATTTTTGTTTTACGCCGCTTTTAGCAATATTCCAGCAACATCACGGCGGGGGGACACCAGAAATGGGCTTCACACATTGTACCCATGTGGGGATTCGAACCTGGGTCTTCGGCGTGATGAGCCAACGCTTTAACCATTAGGCTACCCCACCGCCCCCAAGTTGCCCTGACACCTATTAAACGTACAAGTATCATTCAATCAAATCCTTCCTATGTTCAATCTTCATGTTCAGATCTAGGTCATTGCAGTTTTTCAACAGTTGGAGCTAGTCACACTTAGAGGTTCGGAGACTTTGCGGCGAACATATAATGCTGATCCCTGTATTAGAGAATCGTCCACGGGTGGTAGACTTGCCTTACCCAGTGGACTTTGCGTCGATTGTGGAGAAGATCAGATCGGCGACCAAGACAGTCGAGAATCTTTCTCGCAAGGTTGTAATGTCAGCAACTCCTAAAAGGCCTCTCTTTTGCACCTCCGGGATCCCATTTGGCAAACCAAAGGGGAAGAAGCCTGACACAGCACCCAAGATCCGGTCTAAGTCCCGTGTCAGAGGGTGTGGGCAGAGGAAACAGTCACGTGGCATGGGTGTCTCTATCCCTTCCTGCTGCAGCCATAGACCCCATTTCTTTACCAGTTAGCCGTCATCTGTCGACGTTCATACCCAACTGGCATCGGTTTTTTAGAAGACCACTTCATCTTCTCCGTTTTAGATTCACTGTACTGACTTCTGCTCAAGGCGTCTCCACCACTGACCACTCGGCCATATTAGAGGCACCCCTAGCGCCAGACAAGCAGCTTTAGGCGTGTGGTCAAGGATGACATTGAAGTCCTGACGACACTCCTGGGTTTTACTGTCCAATCATCTTCATTCTCCTGCCATTTGGAATCGGTACGGCTCTGTATTTATTTTCCAGGGTCAGGCGACCCATAACGACAATGGATTTGTGGTGCAACTTTGTCTACGGCTGCTTGTCAAACAGAGAGACTTCGCCATCAGTCTTTTTAATCGATTGGGATGGCGCATCAACTTGTACAAGTCTTTTCACCTCAATATGTGTCAGTCACTCGTATTCATCGGGGCTCACTTCCGGACCAACCTCAGTCATCTGGTAGTTCCTCAAGACAGTTTTCACGCCTACCAACCCCTGATCCAGGCTGCACTTCGCACCTCCCTCAGGTTGAGAGAGTGGCAACGCCTATTAGCTAGTCCTTATCACCTCCACTCAGGATCTAACGTAACAAGGATGCCTCATGCTCAGACCATTTCAGAGGACTCCGTGGGTCGGTCACAAGGACCTAATTGTCTGGACCTGTCTCCCTGATGCCATGCGATGCTGCTCATGATCTATTCCACATGTGGGGCACACATTTAGACAGGGCGACATCAGACGAGATGTGGTTGGAAGAACAACAATGTCTTCACATCAACAACCTGGAGTTTCTGGCAATGTTCTCAGCCTTAGATCGCTGGAAACCTCAGTTGGAAGACAAGCAAGTGATGATCCCAACTGACAATGCGTCAGTCGCGGCAGTCATCAACAAAAAGGGCCCAACCAGGTTGATGTCTCTACTGACCCTAACCTCCTGTCTATCCGGTATCGCGAGTTCAAATGAAAGCGTGTCACATGCCAAGTGTAACCAAAGTTATGGTAGATGCCCTATCTCGACTAGATCTTCCTCCTCCGATGGAATGGATGCTGCATCCAGCCTTCTTTTGCCAGATAGACAATCTCTGGGGCCGACACATCTTAGATGTGTTCGCCACAAGGCAAAACAAGCACATAGAGACGTTCATCTCTCCAGTCCCTGACCCTCTGGTGTTGGATCTGGACGTTCTTGCAGTCAACCGGGAAGGGTTGGATGCGTACGCTTTTCCTCCACCAGGCCTCATGCTGAAAGTAGTCGACAAGATTCAATCCACCAATATATTTCGACTGCGTCAGATAGCACCACTCTGGCCTGCACCCCGCTGGTTTGTGCCACTAAGTAACTGATAAACGGTCCACTCTACCTCTGCCTGATGGCGTGGATCGTCTGTGGAGCCCGCACACGGGGAGACTTCATCCAGAGCCAGATCGGTTGGCAGATCAGCTATTTCTATAACTCATAGGGCCTCCACTAGGACACTCTATGACAAGCAGTGGGCATCATTTTTACTTACTTTGAGTCTCGGCAGATCGTTGCCTCCTCGGCATTGGTTGCTCTGGTTGCAGACTTCCTCCTTTTCCTCCGGAACAAACGAAGGTCAAGGCCACCATGATCACCACTTATCCTTCTGCTGTAGATTCTGTGCTGTCTTAAGCTGGTGCCTCTCTTACGAGGGCCCGTGAGCTTAACGCTATCCTAAACAAGTTCCGTCAGGAAGACCAGGTGAACAGGTTTTGGCTTCCATCTTCCTTGGCAGGTGAACCATACGAACCACTTAAAGGAACTACTCTTCTTCATCTTTCGATAAAGTGAGTTTTCCTGGTGGCCTTAGCATTGGCACCCGTGAAGGTCCGGGTTAGAATGTACCTTCGGCAACCCATGCTTGTCGTAAGAGGCGACTAACGGGATCGGGTGGTCAGGCTCCCTTGATTGACACATGTCATCGGTTCCCAATTGCGCAGATCAATGCTCATGCTGTTGATCACTGGATTGTCTGGTCCAGACTCGATTATTAACAGCCCGCCGCCATATTGCTGGAATATTGCTGAGTACGGCGTAAAATTAAACTCACTCACTTAGCATTAGCGGCTCGATCATCTGATATTCACGCCATTGATGCCACGCAGGTCAAGTTTGAAAGGAAGGCTCATGGCGGTGTTCATTTGGGTTTTATGGATTTCATAGCCGAGAACCAGCTCCCGTCACCGCCCCTTAGGGAATTCTTTATTTCATCCCTTGCGTCTGTAAGGAGTCTTTAAGATGTGGAGGATCTCTCCATGTGGCCAGTTCGGACTTTAATTCTCTATGTAGATCGTACACAGACCCTGCGGTAGATTTGTAGGAGACTATTCCGTCCGACTAGTCAGACTTCTGATAAGGAAATTGGGAAGAACAAGATTGCGTATTGGATCCGATCGAGTATTTCGGGGGCTCATACGAAAGCTGGACTTCCGTCGCCATCTCAGTCAACCCCTCATGAGGTTCGAGCTGTTACAAGGACCATGGTCTTGCATGCAAGGCTGTTTCTGGGCTGGAGACACCACCTCCACCAACCACTGCGTTCACTTGTAGCTCAAGATCTGGATGGACTGTCCTCCCTGGGTCCCCTAGCCTTTGCTCAACACACTGGTTGGATCGTGACGTCTCGCCAGATTGATGCTTTCCAGTTTCAGCGTTTATTATTCACTTTGTATGTTAAGTAAACAAACTCTGTGACAAGGTAGTTTCTTTACGCACATTGTGCACTATGGTTTATAGAGAATGTGGATCGGCATGCCTAAACTTGAGCCTATACCACCCCTACTCTGCAGTATGTGTAGTATGGTTATCAACCTTCTGTTGCTGGTGAACACTCACTCACTTACACAGTCTGGTACTTGCGTTGTGCTGAGAGCTCACACAGCCCAGGCGCCAGTGGGCATCTAGGGTTGCCTGCTCTGGCGTTGTCATGTAGCAGGTAGCCTGATGGTACCTCTGTGTATCGCTCGTCGTGTATCTGTAATTTAGCTTGGTTTATTTTATTCAGAGGTCGTGTGAGTTTGCGCTATATATTATATCTTCTGTTGTGGTATTAGCATGCATTTGTTGTTAAGCAGAGTAAGTTAAAAGACAAGAAAATTCAGAGTAATTTCTTAGTTTTAATATTTACCTGCCTCACAAGTCTCCAGTATTAATTCTCCTAGTAATATATACACAGTAACATTCGGCCGCTATTCTTATTATCATTTTAAGAACGACCGTGGAATGCCAAATGTGAATAGTATTTCTTAAACAAAGTGCTTGCTTCATATCGATCATTAAATTTTAATCAGCGTTTACAGTGAAAAACGTGGATAGGATATTTTTTCCCTTTTTGAACAACGGTTCAAACCAAGGGAGCATGGACATATATTCATTTTAACTCACCGTACTTGAAAACATACTTGCTAACGATGACTAGAATCACATTATATTAATGAATAAAGAATACAAATACAGAGACGCCCATCTGTCGCTCCTTTATAGGAAAGGCCACCATTCTAAAAAATGTCACATAACGAAACTTCTCAAACGATGAAATCTGTTCTACCCTGTCAAGAACCCGGGGAGGTAATTCCACGTCACACTTGAAGGATGGGTGTTAGTTTCGTATGATTGTCAGAAAGTGACTGAGGGGTCGTAAAATGTTAAACGCTGTTGTGGCCATTCTGAAACTCTATCAAGATAAATCAAGACTCGGTCTTAATTCTCAAAATTTATGAGTTTATTTTGTAACGATACACTGTACGCACCAGTGTCACTGACATCAATTGTCAGATTAGATGTGTTCATCATGAGTGTTCTCAATATATTACGAACGCCTCAGCCATTTTGTGCCACTGACAGTCACTACAAATATTTCCACCACAATTTCTTTCCTAAATAACACTATGAAGTTAGATAGTAGAGCAGAGCAGTACATAGGCATGACTTTGCAACTAACACAAGAAAAAAAATGGTGATTTCCAAAAATTTCCAATTTGGAAACATCGTCTTTCCAAAAATTTCCAAAATTGGAAAGATGATGTTTCCAAGGCTTGGAAATTTTTGGAAATTTAGGAAGGATTTTACCACTACTTCTTTCAATTTCTCCTTTTCCCCAAGGATCCCCGGCCCATGAGTGTATGGCATTGTGTAATCATAGCTTTCGGCCGTGGGAGCCGTGCCAATTAACACTTATCAGAGGGGTACACAAAGCCCGCAGTCTAGATTACCAGTTGTCCGACTTCCATTTTTTTGTGGAAGTCGCGGTAGCTGAGTTGGTTAGGAGGCTGATTTTGTGTGCTGGCGATAGGGTGCCTGACTGAGGGTGTGAGTTCGTATCCCGGATGGTGCTCAACTCAAAAAGTACTAGAATTTGTACTTTACTAAGAAAGTGTAATCCCAAATATAACACATGTTCCATGAGTGTATAGACTGAACTATTTGACGAATCTTTTGATCTGTTAGAGTTCTTATTGTTGATAATGTATCTTGCATGTGACATATTTATTCATGAAAACTGCAGGAATACGCCATATGTTCATATTATCCCTTTGTGCTTGATATCAATGCAACTGTGTTTCACGCGTGAAGTGATAAATTTTTTTAAAGTTGGGATATAGAGTAGGTGTTTACTATTCGCCGTCCTATGCGACCAACTAGGAACCAATTCTATATATTAGTTTAACTTCACTCATCTGCATTCTTCTTGTTCTATGTGTCAAAAATTGATGTTGACTGTTCTATTTACCGCTAGTATGGCGAGCATTTTGTATGGCGAGCGTATGTTTTAGTTGTTATCCACAAACGCGCAAATATGTTTAATTTCAACTCTCCCACCCCAGCCCTTTCAATGTTCATATGAATACAAATTCCATACACCTAAGCTATATGGACTATATGACAGTGACTGACTGAGTGTATTACATGCCATGAAAGTGAACCCGTGCCATGGCGTAATGGGGTATTCCCGTGAAGTAGGATTTTGTTATTACAGTATAATCTCGTCCATGTTGCGTCGGTGTTGTTATACGGGAATAAGAGACTGGGTGCTATATAAATCTGAACTTGTTTTGAAATGTGATCGAATTTGCTGAGTTTAGCTCACTGAGATTATATTGATACTGATTCATGTGTTCACTCAACGTCTACGGGGATGATACGGTCTACGTCTCGCGAGAGTTATTGATTAATCTACTAATATCTAACAAAGTGCTAGAGTTTTGGGTGACCTTCGTAGGGTCAGTAATAAGTTGAAATAGGTCATACATGATTTGAAAATTATGTATCTTATTATTACTTTGGGTGTTGGCATGGCAGATTTAAGAAGATCGCTAAAGGCCCTCCAAATGATAGTTGAGATATATTTCACATGATATGTTTCATCTGATGATGATTAATTGTGGCAACACCAAATATATTATGTCATGAAAATGTCAAATTCAGTTTAGGCTTATTTCATTTCTTTACCCCTTCAACTTTTGTATCAACCTTGTGCCTGTTAAAACATTAACTGGCCTTTGTTCGAGATCACCAGGTCTTGGAGGTAATCACTCTATATATTTACAAGTCTACTTCATGGGAACTAATCGTAGTAGAATACATTCTCCAATTAACACCTGTCACAAGGGAGAGGCCATTTGAGTTTGTGCTCAATAACGGTGTTATGCAATGGGCGTATTCACGAAAATCTCATTAACTTGTCAATAGAAAATTGGTTGTGTTGTCCAAACATGTGCGGATTGAAGCAGATACTCAAATGAATTCCCTTTGTACTGAATCATAAGTCTATCTAGATTAATGTGATCATTTACAAGCAAAACGTTACAGAATGTTTTAATAAAACATTCATTTTAGATCAAGGTAATCAGCCCACAAGCTCACAGATATGATTCCAGAGACAAATATACATTTGAAAGATTCCAGTTTATACAAGAGATTAATTTCATAATAAGCCAGCCAATGGAATTTATGTTAATATCCCAGTTACAGTTATTTTGAAGGGTCAAGTCTAGATGCTTGTGATTATCTATGTCTTGAATTATCACACCGCTCATTGTGAGGTCAGGTTGGATGCATTCTACTCAACTGTAAAATAGGTTTGTCGCTGTGGTGACAATTATATGCGTTTGAAAATGTTAAAACCTGCAATGAGAACACGACGCCACGCCAATAGCAACTCCATGATTGTTTGACAGGTATTCTTGTCGATGCATAGAGTAAGGGTTCCCATATTCATTCTTGTATCATTATCGAGATAAAGGGTAGGTTAGACATTTGGGTCAAGGTAAAAAGCGTTTGATGTTTTGACTACGGTGTTGTTTTAAGGGATTCTACAAGATGAAAAAACGTGTTCACTCAAGGAAAGAAATAAGACATGTATACCAGACTACCAGTATGAGATTGAATCCATGTTAGTGAGTTCACACAGTCACTTTGATTTATAAATTAGTTCACTCAAGTTGTGAGGTATTCATTTTATTGCAGAAACTTGCTATAAGAACTTTGGAAATGACAGTTTTCACCATTATTTCCACAAATTCAGTTGTGCTAAATGCACAGTTAGATGAAGTTTCTTCCTACTTTTCGTGGTTGACGATATCTATGTGTAAACGGTTACCGGTATATGTTCATTCTGAACAAGAGGGAAGGAGAGAATGGATCTTATGAAGATGCAGTCAGAAAGACTGCAGAGCAACAGTCTCAACATTGAACGACATAATCTCTACAACGAAGTCAAGGAAAATCAAATCTCAAATAGATTGTAACAAAAATAACAATTTTGTTTTTTAAATGTAAGTAGTGTTCCTAGCGTTATGTTAAAGGTCACATGCAACGTAAAACACAACTTTGCAGATTCTGATACCTTTCGGTATGGATTTACCGAAACAAATCATCAAAAATGCAAATTCAACTTATAAAGTTGAAAATAATACGATAGGTTCGCGCAGCAGGTTGTCCGGTGAATACTCGGTGAAGGCTTTGGTGTGAGCTCTTTTTTTAAATGTTTCGTTGATATTTCACAGGCGCGAGCTTTTTATGTTATGACAGTATATTACCAATTTAACTGTTTATATAATTTCATTTGTCTATTTCACCACGTTCTTCTTACCGAGTCACTTTCTCAGTTCGATACTTAAAAGCAATGTCATTATTTAGCGTTGACAGAATAGCTAACTGTGACACAGATATGTCGTTGTCGCAGACAAGTGTCTGTTTTATTGACGCCTATGTGTCTGCCTGCCTTTCTGCTAATGACAATGTTCAATACACAGCTTCGATCACTGACCACATGCAATTTGAACTTAACACCTATCAGGCTATACACCATAAACAAAACGTATTGATTAATGGCGTTCGGTCTCTGTCACATTATGTAATTACACAGACAGGCAGGTGTGATACTTGTACACATGACATGTTATGATGTCTGTTGATTTTCAAAATGTTATACACAAAAAAATGAGGATGTATTTACAAAATCCAACATCTCGGTATATACACACATAATGAACCGTGAGGGGCGTCTGCAAATGAACCAGCCGTTACACTTGAGTGCACACCCACTCGCTCTGACTGGGTTCGGTATCCCGGCTGCTTCGTTTCTTGGGAAGTAAACCCAAGTACAAAATATTGCACTTTTGATTTTGCGATTGTACGCTTATAATTTTGTTTATATGTTTTTTTCATAATCAGCGATGTATATTATGTCATGAATAAGTGATAATTGTGTTTTAATTATGTTTGATTTTTTTGGTTGCATGCGACCTTTAACAAATTTGCTTGTGTTAGTGCTATAAACTTCTTATAAGTTTGTATATATTATGTTTTATATATTTGTATCATTTATCATGTAGATAATAGAAAACACCCTTGTCAAAAATGAGCAATCAATCTATTGGCAGTTAACCGTTTGAAAGAAGGACATATTTAATTGTTTACAGCTGAAGGTCATTAATAAGATATGTTAAATATTATACAAGAGAATACATGTCATGTCGAAACTAAGACATCTTCTTCAGAAATACAATGTACAAAGTTAGCAAGCTTTTTAACAAATTTAATTTCTGAGTCACAGGTAACACAGGATTTCTGAATCACAGGTATCACAGATCGTTTCATTTAAACCATCACGTATCTGTCCCTCGGCAACACAAACATCACATCTTTCTTTCGGCACTTTCCGATTATCTTGATGAATTTACTTTTGATTCGTTGAATCGGCATGAACGACGAGGGACCATTGTCAATAAAAATTGTCGGATGCCAGGCTTCAACTGGTTTACCACAGTGGTACTTCAAGTCATCTGGGAGTTCTCGGTGCCATCTTACTTCAGCAATGAGGTGTGGTCTAAGCTCCCCTGAGAGTTGCACGCTGTGATGTATGTAGCGGACTACTTTGCTCAGCTCAGCAGGAACAGAAATCGTGACAATTGTTGTGAAAAATGAAAGCTGTATGTTTATCAAAGTGAATACATTTTTTAAGAAACCAAATTATTCATCAAAGTATACATTAAAATCAATATGGGTGGTAATTGTCCTCTCTGTAATGGTAAAATAACTGGGTGGCTTTTGTCCTGCTCCCTTTCCGAGTTACAACTTGTTTTCATAGACGATTCTGTCGTAATTGCCTGGTGTCGCTGGGCCTTATTTGTTCGAGACCAGTCGCTAGTGATAGTGAAAACTATGATCAGCCTCGCTCATCTCGGTTACGGTTAATTTTTTCAACCTAAACAGTGCGACAGTAGGAAGGGTGGATGCCCATCAGATGCTGTTATTTGAACATTTCCCCGGTAGTTCTTGTCTGATTGTATTAAAGTATCAAAGCAGTGTGGGCTTTTGCAGGTTTTCTAATGCGTGGATGGTATATTGACTTATCATAATTGATCCCATTTCTGTGGGTTTTTTACCTCGATATTAATTCACGTCATGTAAAAATATGACGTATAATATTAAAAAATGACATTTGATCCATTTGAATCCGTAAACTAAACAACCCCACTTTGCCATTGCTAGAAGGCTCTGAAAATTTACTTAGGTAAATAGGTACATACAGTTATAGCATACAGCAAATGCTTATATGTATTTCTTATGCAACAATGAAGTTCTGTCCGTATTCTCAAAATAGTGTCGGCCCATAGGTTTACACATGCAATACAGCAATTAATACTCCCATGTTTAAACCCGTGTTAGGTGGTATAAACCTACACATGTTATTTGTCATCATTCACTTGATGGTCAGTTAATGAATTTAAAACAGGTAACACCGCTTAGATAACCCGACAAAGGTTCCCATTTTGCATTTCTTGTGTCTGGAGTAAATACCCAATATAATATACATCGATCAAAGGATTAACGGATAACACGCTGATTGATTAATTACTTTTATCTTACACAGCGGATTTGTCAAAAGGTATTGTTTATGTATGTAGATTAACTAATCAATACTGAATACACTCTGTCGTGTCTGTGTCTGTGTCTGCGTAAAACAACTTCCTTCTTTCGAAGGATTAACCGCATAGACATTGATTGATTGCTCATTATTGGCTAAATTACTTTTTTTTGGTAAAGAATGGCGGACATTATGCAATTAGTGGCCAGGTGTGCTATCTTGGGTGACCAATGAGACTATATACCTATGTAAAATACCTGAAACGATATATCACTTTTCGTGAACATGTATTAGACTGTTAAAAGACGCATCATTTGGAACAGCTGCAGGTGAATGGCATACGGCTCGTTTTTGTGGATATTGATGGATACATTCCTCGAACAAAGTAATAGCCTGAAATCATTATAACTACCTGTTTTAGTTTTAATAATTGCATTTTGTTTTTATTCACTTGTCGCAGCATTCCACAGAATCCATGATTTCGTCGTGAAGTAATGAGACAGACAACATACACTAGGGCGTGTGTGCGAATTATGATTTACAATGTCTAGATATTCAAGTTATAAGTAAAGGCAGATCGCCTGATTTTTATTTATTTTCAAAATGAACATAAGTATGATAATAAACTAATTAGGATTATTAGACCAAATAGAAAGACGCACGTTGACTAGTATCTACATACTGGTGAGTGGACATTAACCATGGGAATGTAGCAAGATATTTATTGCGCAGTATGTCACTTCGACCCCCACCTCGCTTCCGAGGAAGAAATCGTTATGTTATAAGTTGTGTCATGCCAAACCTGTTGGCCATGATTCCAATACATATTTAACTACGAGTAGAAAGTAGTTTTGCTTTTCTAACTTGATGAAAACAAACCATAATCTCATTAATTGTTTAACAGACTTTAGCCCGTCATGTTACGATTATTAAAAATGGCAGCGCCCTGTCGCGAACATCCGCGAGTCTGAGAATAAATGCTATTTAGGTTTGTTTTCACCGAGTTACAAAATCAAAACTACTTTCTACTGGTAGTACAATATGTATTTGATTGATGTCCAATAGGATTTTGCGTGACATATCTTATATCATAACAATTTCTCTTGAGGAAGCGAGGTGGGTGTCAATATAACACTACTTACAATATTATTGTCACTTCCACCACGACCTCGCTTCCGAGAAAGAAATCTTTATGCTTCAAGTTGTGTCGTGGAAAATATTTTTGGTCATCAATCATATATATATATTGTACTACAAGTAGTAAGTAGTTTGATTCTTTAACTTCCGCGAAGCGATCTGGACAAATTTAAGATATCGTTCCAAGCTTCCACAACGCTCGCTTCGCACTCACAAACATAACCCATTTACTAAATGATTTAGCACGAACTGCGGGGTCCGGTGGAAATTAGTGCATGGTGACATCATCACTCGACCCCCCAGGACGGCAACGCAACGATTGACAGCAACGCAACGATTCGTTTTGCTTTGAGTAAGTTTCGTTGTTCAGACCATCCTTTAATATTGGAATAAGGGCGAAAAGTAAATATAAAACAACATGAGTGATTCTACCCTCTGTGTATTGTACTTACCATTGAATCAGAGTACCAATTCTTTATTGAATGTTCATTTTACTGTGATCTGAGAAACAGCCTTCTCCCATAATACTACATAAATAATCCATGTGAAACATTGACAAAAAGAGTGAAGTTTTTGAATATAGAGTATAAGATTAAATGAGACATTGTACACGTTAGCATACAGCTTAATATTATATATGGCGCTGGATTGTATTTTCATCTTCATAATTGTAAAACGGGTCGGTGGCCCTTGTACGAAATTAACTCTCACTGACTAGATATAAGCTTATGATGATACATATTTAAACTCAGCGTGACAAATTCACTTTTCACCCACAACATTGAACACTTAAAATGTGTTCACTGCAATTTCGACTAGTCAAGTCGATAATCCTTTCGTTAACCCCTTAAACAATCATTACTAAAACAACACCAAACATCAAAGACTACCGCCAGTCGCCTTAACGACCCCATGAAACACTCATGCCGCCCCATGCCACTATCGCAATTAGCCCATGCAGAACAATAATTGACCATCACCCACCAGTTATCTCCCCTTGCGGATATTTCCAAGATTGGAAATTTTTGGAAACATCATCTTTCCAAAATTGGAAAGTCTTGGAAACATCATCTTTCCAAAATTGGAAATGTCTTGGAAATATCATCTTTCCAAGACATTTCCAAGCTTGGAAAGATGGATTTTTTTTCCAGTGTAATTTCAACGAGATTCACAAGTGAGATTTTTGCATAAAAATTTTTGAGGTTTTATTTTTGGTATCAGTATTTGAAATGTAATGTAAAGTTTTTTCTTGTTTGTTTGGTTTTTTTTGTGTTTTTGTTTGTTTGTTTTGGTTTTGTTTTTTTTATTGTTTTTTGTTTTTTGGGGGGGTGTTTTTGTTGATGTTATTATTTATTTTAATATTCCTTTTACTGTTTATATTTTATATTTCTTTTTTATGTTATTTATTTATTTTATCATTTTTTTTTTTTTTATTTTTTTTTTTTTTTTTTAGTTTTGGGCGTATATTGACAAAATATTTCAATATTATTTAGTGAAAGTATGGTCGACAACATGTGTTTCGGAGACAAGGGTAACATGACATAGCCGAAGCAATGTATTTCATAACAGCTTTCTTGTTCTGTCACAGTGGACGGCATTTGTGATCAAGAGGGTGGAGAATGGTTCTGTCAGATTCGACGGTCTTTGTATCCAGTTGTTGCAGGAACTGGCGAAACAACTCAATTTCAGGTTTCAATTTGCAAAATGTATTTGCGTGCACATTTGTGTTTTTGTGTGTGCATGTTTATATGTTTGTGCTATAATGAAGTGTGGTATATTGTCTCCTAAATTACATTATTAATTTCATTAAATTAAATCTACCATATCAGAAAAAAAGCAAAGGTTCATCCTTACTTGTTTTGTTGTGATTCAACTATCCCTTGCGTTTGTTAGCTACACCCTGGTGGAGCCCGAGGACAGAGAGTGGGGTCTGATACTGAATGACAGCTGGACGGGGCTGGTGAAGTTACTTGTCAATGGGGTATGTTACAGTCAGACTATACAGTGGCCTAATGGGTCTCTTCAGTGTGGTGACATGATTTGTCACACCATTCCTGCATTGTGGTAGAGAACACAGGCTCCGATTGGTAGGAAGATGAGGTCCAACATGATCAGTCACATTCCTTATGCTTATCTACGACAAGCAGAAGAAAATATCTGCACCTGTACTCAACAGTCAAAATACATATATCGTATTTAATAGTCAAACAACTCAATAAATGCATTGAATAATGGTGTCTTTAGATTTTCAAGCTGATTTGATTTTCAGTGATCACTTCAGATGTTTCACGGCTATTTAGCCCTTCACGCAAAATCGGTTGTTTTGGGCTGATATTCGATACTGGTTATTTCTTGCATTGTTTCTACATCGTTAAAATTGGCAATGTATCGAAGGTTCCAGCTAAGTGGCATCAAGTTCTTCCCATAACATGAAATTACACACATTTTCATTTGCATGAAAATTTAGAATTTCATATTTTAAAAATTCAAATTAAATAATGTATGGAGTTGTAAGTAGTAAAACTGAAACTTGGATGACTTGTAAGGACTGCCTGTGTGACCGAACATTGTCCTCCTCTCACTATGCGAAGTTTAAAGATTGTTTTGTCCGTACTTTCAGGAAGTTGACATGATTGTGGCACCAATGACGGTGACTCAGAGCAGAGCCACAGTCATTGATTTCACAGTACCATACTTCTACGACCATTCAGCTCTTATTATGGGCAAACAAGATCCCAACAGCAACAAATGGTTAACCATTCTATACCTGTTCCGCTACGAGGTTCTCATCTGTATCCTCGTCTCACTCATCTTCTCCACTGTCTTCCTCTTCGTCTTGGAAGAAGTGACACCAGTCCTTTCATGGACGGATGAAAGATCCACGGATTTGCAGACCCGATATGGAGATATACTCTGGTGTCATTTTGGATCTCTTGTGACGAACGGTAAATCAGCATTGTTGAAGAATGTTGTAAAATGACAAGAAGTGTGCTTTGACTTGTTATATTTACTAACCTGTATACGAATTGTCTGTCTCCGTAAAGAAAGATCTATGAGCTTTGTAGCACATTGTTTTATTCATAAGCTGGAATTTAGGAATTCAGTTAAGAGACAACCTCCAGAAGCCCATACAAAAGACAAACGCAGAGAAAAAGGCAGAATACCAATGTAGAATTTTGAAGTTCAGAGTTACACGTTGTCAATGAAGTCAAAGCAATTCCTTTCAATACTGCCTTCGACAGGTTTGTGGTTTTAACTCAGAGGTCCATCCATGATACCACATAGAATAGGTATCGTCATGATAATCACAAGGGAATTGGTCCGTATATAGCCTTATAGTACCAACACCATCAATACTGACTGTGCCGTTTTTTGTTAAATCCAAAGCAATCATTTGCAAATTTGTAATGCAGTCAATATGTGGAAAACACATACAAAATGTAATACAAACATACCAAGATCGAAGTTTTCGACTCCGAATGTTCTCGCTGCCTCGGTTCTTTAGTTCCTACCAATCTGATGACAGATATTGGGAGAGGACAGCCCTTCTGATACTTTGGATAATGCAGAGGATTGTAGTATAAGCGAGTCTTCACATTCTCCAAGGCGTTCTTTAGTGTTCGGCGCCAAGTCCTATTCGCTGTCATGTCTGCGTGTAATGTTGGTACCTTAGGGTTCTGACTTTGTGATGAGCCTTAACAGGATCATCCGAACCCTCTTTACATATATTTCTTTTAGTCCTTACATAATAATGTATAACTACACTTGTGCATTGATTGTACAGTACATCTTTCACTATTATCCAGGAGGAGCATATATTCCCACCACTGGGTCCGGACGTACAGTACTCGCCTGCTGGTGGCTTTTCGCAGTGATACTGGCTTCCACCTACAGAGGAAATCTTATTGCGTTCCTTGCCGACAGACGAGAGAAACCCCCCTTCTCCAACCTGGATGAGATGGTGCAACAGGACACGTACAAGTGGGGGTTTGTCGGAGGGACATTACTGGTCCCTCTCTTTCAGGTCAGTATGAGTGCGATATGGGTTGACTGGGTTTATCGCAGATTCTACCATGACCATGAAGCATGATTCTGCCCATGTGTACTTTAATTTGGTGAGCGAGTTCACTCAATGACTTTGATTAATAAAATTAGTTCACATTTAGTTCACTCAATCCAATAGTAGGGAGTTATTCATTTTCTTGCATAAACTTGCATGCTATAAGAATGTTGGAAATGACAGTTTTCACCATAATTTCAACTACATCAGTTATGGCAAATGCACAATTATGCTTCGATTTTCTTCTTACTTTTCGCGGTGAAAGATACCTTTGTGTACATGGTTATATGTTCATTGTGAAAATAAAAGAGGAAAAGGGGAGAATTGATGTCGTGGACATGCATTCAGAAAGACTGCAGATCAACAGTCTCAACTGTGAACGACATAATTTGTAAAATACCTAGAGAACACAACCACGGACCTGTACACAATGAAGTCAAAGTAAATGTTTTCGACTGTAAAAAACGATAATCTTTCAAAAGATGAAAAAAAGTAAAAGCAAAATCAATCTTGAATACATTGTGTTTTCCTCATTGCCTAAAATAAAGATTACTTTAATACGTATTGATACTATGGATATTTTATTGTATGGTTTAACACATTTATCTACGTAATAATGATGGGATTGGCAAACAAGCAGAACCATGCTTATATCAATGCCGCTCCCTAACAATAATACAATTTTATAGATAGAACTTGTCGACCTTAACGACATACCGCAGCATATCAACCAGTTTGTTTTTACACCCATCCAAAGGGCGGACTTACGGGACTTAACAATGTGGTAAAGGTCAACAAGTTATTGACAATGGGCAGTTAATGTTTTTACAACGGTACGGTTAATACTAAAATGTTCACCGAAAAATAACTGAACAAGAATCACGCTGTATAATGTCATTTCTATTTGTACATTCATTCGGACAGTAATTTATACTAACTGCATGATAAATAATACACATACATAAAACAAAATATATATAAATAGTTTATAGCTCTAAAATAAGCAACTTTTATTTAAACATTCTTGATAAACATGCATTGTTAACGTAAAGTTGATTGGTGTCTTTAAATAACATGACGTACAATACACAATCTAACATTATTTACATAAGATGTTTATAGCACTACAAATGATCATTTGCTTTTGAGTTAGTCACTGAGTTAATATTTAACGTCACGTCGGCAATATCTCAGCCATATCGTGACGAAAACAAATTATACAACAAATGAAAACATTTTGAAGAGTAAAACCTGTCGACGATGGACAGTACAAATACTAGAGTATCACAGATATGAATATAAAACTAGCATGTACAACTAAACATTTTAATTAAAACAAAAAGACAATACAATATAAAACACGGGCTATAGATAGAGGTACTAAAGGTAGATTACCACACTAGGAACCATGGGGACTTACATTACTTTTGCTTCCTACATGGACCCGAACTGGACCATTTTCTTTTGAATATGATTGATCATTTCACTTAAATTCAATAACTTTATCATATCTTTGCAGAACTTCTCTCAATTTACCTACCTTAGTTATACTGAATATGCTTATGTCATGAGCAGGTAACACAATGTTTACAAAACAAACTACACAAGAACCTCTAAGTGTATGTGCGTGTGTGCAGGTTTTAAGGTCCTAGTTGACGTTCGCGATCGATCCACCACATTCTTGAAATGATTAATTGTGCTTTGTCTTAAATGTTATATACAACACATATGGCATGTTTTCAGGAATCCAACATCTCCGTTTATCACAAGGTATGGCATGGTGTGGAGGAGAAAATGACAAACGAACCTGATTGGTTGAGTCTGGATGGAGACGAGCACTTGCGCCGAGCGGTCGAAAGCCAGTACGTCTACTTGGCAGAGGAGTCTTCTTTCGAGATGTGGGACGACACACGGCGGTGTGATTTGCAGATGTTACGTGACAACTTCTATTTTCATAAATACGCAGTTGGCCTTCCCAAACACAGTACATACACACAACTCTTCTCAAAACAGTGAGTGAAGTATTTTCTGATAGTTTGTTTAACTATCAAGTTTTTCAAGGTGTGGGTAAATGCTTTGCACTGACCTAATTATGATGAAAAACATTTTCCATTCCAGGTGCTGAACCTACCATGCTATGATAACGATGACAACGTTGGTATCAAATGATACCATAGTAAACGTAACGCAAATAAATATAAGCATGTATATCATTTTACTGTTTCGAACCTAAATTAATCATATCCATAACACGTGCAAAATGACTGACTGTGTAGAATATACTGTGCTATCATTACGATAGCAACGTTGGTATTGAAAATGAGCAGGTGCTCCAGCAAGTGTCACACCTGAAACTCTCTGTGGCTTTAGGCTTTCATAGGCATACATTCATTTAAAGAGTGTCTACGATATATGACAACGTCCAATATATCTGGGGACATTGTAACAGCTGTAACATGACTTTTTGCTTGGATATCATTTTACTGAACTCGAACAGATGATGCTACATTCGTGTCGAGGAGAAGAGTGTACCTATCCTGCTTCAATCCCTCTTTTCCAGAATATTGCGAATGTACGAAAGCGGCCTCCTGAATCTGTGGTGGGATCGATGGAAACCGAAACATCAGTGTCCACCTCCAAGCAGAAAAGCAAAGCGAGTCGACATATTAACCTTGCAAAGCGCCTTCTATGGCGCAGGGATTGGCGTGGGCATGGCACTCTTAGTCCTTGTTTGTGAAATAATTCGTAAGCGGATATGACGAAGACGTGTTGAAGAGTCCATGATGTCTGATACTATGTTGATAATATTGCTATAAATTTTTCAATATTTTCTTCTTGTCGTTTGTTTTGTTTGTATTATTCATTCAGATAAAAAAACACGTTAGATATGTTTATTTTGAACAACCTGAGAACGATGGAATTACAGGATGATGTAGTGGTTTGACTCTTCATTGAATAAAACTTTAGCAGTTATAAGTGTCGGTTTACCTTCTGTCATTGCCCTTTTGGAGAATGATCTGCTATTTACTCCACTTTTAACAATTTTCCAGCAAAAATGTCATGAATTGTCTGGGTATCTCAGTGGCTAAACGAGCGAACACAATATGCACTTCGCTAACCTAGCACCTGACACTTTCTGGAAGACACTTTGAGGTTAACAGAGCAAATAACATGATGTGTTAGGCTGTACCTCAAGTTTCCTTCTGGTACAATCTTCTGTTTCAAGAAAACCTTGACTGTCCTTCGTCGGCAGGTTTTTATAATATCTATATATATTCTATTTCAATATCAAATGTTCTCGTCACGATATGGCTGAAATATTGCCGATGTGACGTTAAATAATAACTCACTCACTCACTCAAGAAAACCTTGAGATGTCCTGAAATTATATCATATGGGCCGTTATAGGTGTTCTACGAGTGGTTGCTGAAAGGTTCTTCACAACAGCTTTTTGTGGCATATTCCATATTGTACTATCTAAACATAGTACAAGGTCTAAATATAACATATCGCAGTTCCTCACTTACTCTACAGGTACAAAGTATAACAGTTCAAACATTGTTCCACAAGTTAAAACGCTGCCTCATAATAGGGATGCCTCTCATATGTCTGTAAACGTGAGTGAATGGCACGCAATACCTGAACGGGCAATTCAACGTCTGTTGCAGTCAATTAGGAGGATGGTCACTGATGTTGTTGCAGTTGGTGGAGATTACACTAGGAGGATTGTTGGTTACTTATACTTGTTGTTTGATCGGCATTCTAGAAGTTAGTGAGTAAAAAGTGAAACATACAACTTTATGGATGACAGCTTCTTATAGAGCGACGTTTCGATGTAGATTCTTACACCGTTATCAAGCTAAAAGTGAATACAACCAAATCATTTGTTGTTCTTAACCCCCTACTTGCCTCTTCCAATTATGTAACAGTTGTTATTCAATTATATGTTGTTGTTAATGTTAATCTGGTGTTCGTAAAACCTAATATGTATACCCTCATTAATTGATTGTATTCACTTTTAGCTTGACGGTGTAAGAATCTACATCGAAACGTCGCTTTAAATATGAAGTTGTCATCCGTAAAGTTGTATGTTTCATTTGTGATACTTGTGTGGTTTCTTGAGGATTGTATGCCTGAATCCTGAAAATGATGGCACTTGTCATTCGACCACATTTATCGGAACTACGAAAAAGAGTCAATTTTTTGCCATGTTTGCTTCTAGGAATCTTTACATTTTGCAAACATGTTGCCTATACATACTGTGAAAAATATGGACGTTGCCATATTTGTTTATGAGTATATTTTGCTGTGTCCAGAAACATTTCTTTCAAAATACAGTTAACTGAGTGAGTGAGTGAGTGAGTGAGTTAAAATTTAACGTCACGTCGGCAATATTGCAGCCATATTGTGACGAGGATTTGAATAATAGATCAATAACTAAAGTCAAATTATAAAACCGTGTCAACGAAGGACAGCAAAATAACTAGAGGATCACAGATATAGATATAAAACTAGTATGAAAAGTTAAAAACTTTTAACTATAGAAGACAATACAATATAAAAACAGGCTATATATTGCCAACAACAGAAGGTAGATCACCATACTAAGGACCATGGGCAGTTAACTGAGAAAACAATATGGAAAATGCTGGATTTTCTCATACAATCGAGCAGGCTCTTTTTATCAAGATTGCAAGAGAGATACGTAGAGGACATTGCCAAATTTGACGTGTCAGGTCAGGTAAACAACTGACTAGCCTTTGAATGTGTTTATGACTCTTGCCAATCGTAGGGCAGAATACGCTCATGATCACCTTTTCGCGAACACAGGTTATCATCCGTGTTTCATCAACATACCGTCGTAATTGTGATGACAACTCTTTGGAGGCATTTCTTATGGATGCGGAGAGGGTTTTGTCGAGTATATTTATACTGAATGACACTACCACAGAACAGAAGCATATGTAACATTTAAGTTATAATTAAACAGCTCAAAACAAACATTCAACAAAGTTTCGGGTGATCCTGGCGGTTCAAGTTAACAAGAACCTTTGGGATAATGGCAAGATAGTCCAACGCTGCTGCCTTCTACATTACCCCGACTGCCAAGAGGCCTGTGTTCCTGGCAGTAAACCCGGGTACTCCTCCAGTATCAGTCAAGAGATTAGGAGGTACCAAACCCTATGTATCTTGATCAATAGTGATTCACACGACCTGGCACTTTTGATGTAGTCGCGACGTACGCATATCTGCCCAGTTTTACTGCATCTTGTCGCTCAAATTAGTGTCAAAAGTGACGGAGATTGCAAAGCATGGCACAGACGGTAATAGAAAGATGGAGCTATTGCATAAAATAATGTGTGTGTGCCATCCCTGGACGTCCGCTGAAAACAAAGTCAACATTGACACTGAGTTTATGTTCAACATTCTGGATCAATTAGGTAAACTGTTGAATGCCTTGTTTTCTCAATAGAAATGTATACATGTTCATATTTTGATACACGTGCATGATACAAACTGTCACGGTGCTGGATCTGAGCTATGATATACTCACTGGATACATCAGTTACAAAACTAATGTCATGTCATGTCTATCAGCTAATTCTTTTGCATTAGTCACACCCCTTTCAAAATCACCTAGAACCAGCTTTCTTTTCTCTTCTGCTGTCAAATCTGCCATGTCAACAAAGGAAGCTGTCTGATACACCAGGGGAGATAACTCTTGATGTAGTAATGTTAATTCTTAAGCCGACAAGAGTTGCCTCGCATATTGAGTACCTTTCTACATAATGTAACCTTCTTAATATTCTACTATCAGTATTAGGAAGCAAAGATTTTCTCAATAATTTCTAGGAAAACTGGAGTGATGAGCCTATTATAGTTTGCCTCTTAGCAGCATATAGTTCTTTAATCTCAAAAATTGATGTATGCATGTAATGATGATATTTGTGAGAGGTATAGAATATTTGACAACAATCTGAATATGAGAAATGAGAGGTCAAGTAGTAGTATTTGCATTCCGATGGTCACAGTGTGTATGAAACAATGATATGATGATTATGACAGTTGTAATACAAGTAATACAGACCCTTATGAATGACAGAAATGGGTCCATTCATTGTGTGTATTCCTGTTTAACGTCGAGTATGCAATCAGAACACTTTTTTCACTAGATATCTTGCTGAACATCAAGGCCTATGAGAAGTGCCATGTGCACATACTGTCGTGAGTCAATAATGAGTTAATGGTGACCAACTGGTTCATCTCTGCTGGGGAGCAATGTGCTACTTCAAAGACGGGTAATATTTGTTCACTTCGCCAACAGACGTAATTCAAACTTCACATTATCGGTTTAGTTTTAAGAAAATCAATAAATACAGTTCCATCAAAGGTTATCCATTACAAACAAATTATATTCATTGATAAAGCGGATCAAATTTCTTTCTAAATATTTACGGGATTTACAGGGTATGTTTATCCTTTTTGCTAACATCTGTTGTCATTACGTACTTCCCGTTTTCCACTCAGATCATTTGACCGGTATTTTTTCATTGGAATCGTTTCCGGCGAAACATCGAGACTGCTTATTCTCTTTCGTTGACGTACGAATATTTGCTTATGTGAAATATCACTACGTTTTGTCTAAGCATGTGTACCTAAAGCACATAATGCATGCATCTGCATGTATTTCTTTGTATTTACTTTAGTCTCTGTGGCATTTGTCGCTCAGTGTTGTGACCAGATGGTCTATTTCCCCAAACGTCAAAATTGAAAACAAATGCTTACTCGGCAAAACAATGTGGATTGAACTTCCTCTCTGATTGTGTGTGTGGGGGTGGTGGTGGGGGTGGGGTGGGGTTTGTTTATATAGGTCGGGAGGTGAAAGTTGGAGATAAAACATCTGGCAAGACGAAGATATGCTAAGGGACATTTGAGCCTTTTTGCTGATCTATTTCCTCATATGGTCAAGGGTACTTCTGGGATATGCAAAAGCAAAAACGTTTCCAGGAAGTTTAACTTGGACTTTTTTTCGTTCCCATCCACTGATTTACCCTTCTAAGGTGAAAATACAAAATTGAAATTAGAAACTGCCACATCTGTGCCCTATTTCGTACTAGGTTAATG